AAAAGCAAAATGCTCTGCGGACATGTTCATGAGAATATAAATTTTTGTGTAACGAAATCTACAACACTTGTCAATCATATTGCATGTGTGTCTAAAAATAACATGTGGGCGTCCCACGGTCTAGACAGGTTTTGTGCCAGGCCCTATTTCAAATTAGGGCCTGAACTTCAGGTTACTCTTCAGGGCACTTATGCACCTGTTTTTCAAGAGGTCGTTCGACTAAAAAGAACAGTTGCATAATAAAAACAATACAATACAATACAATACAATACAATACAATACAATACAATACAATACAATACAATACAATACAATACAATACAATACAATACAATACAATACAATACAATACAATACAATACAATACAGTACAATACAAATATAAACTACAAGCATGCATGTATTGCAGCAGTATAATGCTTAACATTACCCTTTAATATAATTAATATATAAAATATCATTCCGGAAAATAATGATCAAGAATTGACTTGAATTTCTTGCTAGTAATCCTATAACCTTTAGCCTCTAGAGGAAAATTATGGCAGAACGAAGAGGCTGCTTAGGTTACCCTTTTTTTCCATAAAATTTCTATTTGGTTTATCGAGGGTGAAATCGTGGTTTTTGCTATGGAGGTTGTTCCGCGAGCAGGGCATTTTATAAGAACTTACAACCACTGGGGCTTAGTCTCAATGAGGGCCTTTTCCATCACATAGTTTACACGAGTAGGCTACATAAAATCACTCTGTGCTCAGGGGCAGTACTGGCGCTATTTGATTGGGGAGTGAGTGGGTGTAAGTGAAATATTGTCTACTAATTTCAAACGCTAATTAGTATTTTTCTCGACAATTGGTTCACCGAAGCAAGGAAAGAGTTTGATAATTTCTAACAGTTTGTACATAACATATCGTCTAATTTCTCTCTTTTAATTTGAGTAAAAGTAGAAGTAATTGACAATACACGGTGAACAAGGGCAAATAATGTTAGCCAATCAGCGCGTTTGTTTACGTTTTGCGTTCTTGACCAATCAGAATGCCTGAAATTCGAAACATGTAAACAAAAAGAGTGAGAAAATAACACCGTGTTCTACGCCCTCGGTGGCATTCGATATTAAACTTTTTTCGTCAAAACTGACAAATTCTGATAAAGCATGCTTTCTTCTTTAATTTCCTCGGAGGGATTTTTTAAATTCGATCTAGAACGCGAAATATTTATCTTTGAATAACAGTGTTTCGACGCGCGTAAAATAGCAGACTCTCACTTGCACTATCTTTACACACACACACAAAAATTGGTAGATTTGGCTGTTTAAACTTATTTTCCCCACACCACAGCTGACATGTTTTTAAATATTACCGATCTGATCTCACCGATCTCATTTCGCATCGGAAATGCATCACAACGATCCAGGACTGACAGGTACAATATCACTTTACTCATTACTGTACTTAGTTCATATCCGGTTGGCAAAATGGCGATTGTTTGACAGACCTTCGCGAAGGGTTAATATTTTTGCTAACAAACTGTTCACGAGGGTTTCGTTCTGTTCGTCTTCTGGTTCGTCGTCAATCGTCATCGGCTGCCTCACTTTCTTGGTCGCTTTCGTCCTTTTCAAAGTAAGTCGCCGGGGCAATCAGCGTTAATATTTGCTGTCTTTCGAAGACCTTCCAAGAGCTTCAACATTTGCCAACGTTGTTGCTTCACAAACTGGGCAATCACTGATGTTGGGCAGGATGCATTCGATGTGGAACGAAGGTCCACAACCACGGAAAACGTTTCAAGTGATTAACCTTTTCGCAGGCAGGCAAATCGCAGGTAAGATTTATATTTTATATTTATAGATCTTGATACATTTATAGTCAGCGTCCTTGGAGTTCTTCCAAAGTATGAGTGTGTGCCAAAGTTAAAATATTACTCATAATCTCCAGAACATGTAGTTTGGACAATGTTTTGAATCACTGCAGTTTAGAATTAGCAGTCGTTTTAAAGACAACAGAACTGGCAGCCATGGCACCCCATAACTATTCAGTGTACAATACCAGTCAATGTAAATTACTCCCCCAACCCAGAAGTAGGCAGTTTTTATTTCCCTGCACTGCATAATCAAAATTGCTGGATTGTATAAATGTCTGGCTTTGTCTCAGTGGCCCTGCTTTGCCCCATGAACCCCACAGTACACACTTCCTAGATTCAAGCAAGCGGGGACTTATATTGACTGGTACTTAGGGCCTGTTTATATGGAAGCCGGGCTGGCCTGCTAAGTGAGACAGTCCGGTAAGCTGTGCATTTATTGGACAAGTGGGCTGGCCAGGTTGCTGAGATCTCACTTGACAAGAGGTGAGATCTCGCTTACCGGGGTGGAAATTTCTCCATATAAACACTCACAAGCGGACTAGCCCAGTTGCTGGGATGAAAGATACCGCCGCAAGCTATTTTGAACAACTGTCAAAACCAGCAAGCGGGATGAAATTTTCTCATATGAACACAAGAGAAATTCATCCCGCCTGCCTATCACGCTAAGCAGGCCAGCCTGGCTTCCTGCATATAAACAGGTCCTTAGTTGAATTGCAGCACTTGGTCTGCCTGTGTGTTACTTTTAAGTGTACCCTGGTTCTAGAGGCTCTTTGCAAGGTAAAAGAAACAAGAGGTGAGAATGGAAAGCCTCTGATCACATCAATTGCAAATCCCACTTCCACACTTGAATAGGTTCAGAATTTGAATCTCACATGTGATTGGCCATTTGTAAAAATATGTCAAACCTGTTTGGGAAATAAACACTACTGTGAGCTAATTATAGCTATCTATCTATTTAGCTTTGCCAATTAGGGCCGGGTCACCACAACAGCATATGCCAATTACTGTGAGCCCTTTTTACCCAACCCACCCTGTCAACTTTCCATTTGGGAGGAAACTGGAGTACCCGGGGAAAACCTGTGACGTTCGGCAGAGCGTTGCGGTTTATTCTTTTCACATGAGGACTGGGTTTGAGTCGCATTGAGAAAGTTCTCACTGACTTGAACATGCAGCCAGAGGTGACAGGCAAGTGCGCTAACCACTTGGCCACCGAAGCCCCAATTAAAAAGCCCCAAGCTATTATAGTAAACTCAACCAAGCATGAATATTAATACTCCCGCAGGTGAAAAGGTATTAAATTTCTCAGGAGATAAACATATCAACATTAATCAGTTTTGCAGGACATGTAATACATTCTTGGTTGAGTTTAATAGAATATTTTAATACAGGTTATAATTAGCTTACAGTAATGTTTATTTCCCAAGCCAGTTTGGCATATTTTTACAAATGGGCAATCACATGCGAAATTCAAATTCTGAACCTAATCAAGTGTGGAAGTGGGATTCGCAATGGACAGTGACCCTGGGCTGTACACAGCATATAAGCCTTACTGCCCCCTGGTGATATGGCCCTGATGTGACCAGAGGCTCTCCATTCTTGCATCTTGTTTCTTTCGCCTCGCAAAGAGCCTCTGGAACCAGAGTACACTTAAAGTAACACACACACACACACACACACACACACAGAGCAAATAATATAATGCTTTTAAGGCAGTGAATTGGTAGGGAAATCTTTCAATAATATCCTCTGATTATGGTAAACTATGTACCAATACCAGACAATATAAATCCCTGCCTGCTCAAATCCCAAAGTATGGGGCAAAGCAGGGTCACTGAGACAAAACCAGATATTTACACACAGATATTTACAGATAGTGACAGTGCTGAGAAGTAAAAACTGCCTACTTCTGGGTTGGGGGAGGTAGTAATTAATTACATTGACTAGTATTGTACACTAAATAGTTATGAGGTGCCATGGCTGCCAGTTCTGTTGTCTTTAAAAGAGTTAAAGGACTGCTAATTCTAAACTGCAGTGATTCAAAACATTCAAACATGTTCTAGAGATTATGAGTAATATTTTAACTTTGATACACACTCATATTTTGGAACAATTTCCAAGGACGTACCGACTATAAATGTATCAAGATCTGCAAATATAAAATATAAATCTTACTTTAAAATTGCCATCGATTTGCGATTTGCCTGCCTGCAAAAAGGTTAATCCACTTGGAACGTTTTCCGTGGTTGTGGACCTTCGTTCCACATCAAATGCATCCTGCCCAACATCTGCGATAGCCCAGTTTGTAAAGCAACGTTGAAGCTCTTGGAAAGACAGCAAATACTAACGCTATTTGCTCCGGCGACTTGCTTTGAAGAGGACGAAAGCGACCAAGAAGTGAGGCAGCCGATGACGATTGACGACGAACTAGAAGACGAACAGAACGAAACCCTCGTGAACAGTTTATTAGCAAAAATATTAAGACCTTCGCGAAGATCTGTCAGACAATCGCCACTTTGCCAACCGGATATGTACTTTTAATGTACAGTAATGAGTCATGCGATATTGTACCTGTCAGTCCTGGATCGTTGTGATGCATTTCCGATGCGAAATGAGATCGATGAGATCAGATAGGTAATATTTAAAAACATGTCACCTGTGGTGTGGGGAAAATAAGTTTAAACTGCCAAATCTACCAATTTTTTTTTGTGTGTGTAAAGATAGTGCAAGTGAGAGTCTGCTATTTTACGCGCGTCGAAACACTGTTATTCAAACATAAATATTTCGCGTTCTAGATCGAATTTAAAAAATACCCCCGAGGAAATTAAAGAAGAAAGCATGCTTTATCAGAATTTGTCAGTTTTGGCGAAAAAAATTTAATATCGAATGTCACCGAGGGCGTAGAACAAGGTGTTATTTTCTCACTCCTTTTGTTTACATGTTTCGAATTTCAGGCATTCTGATTGGTCAAGAACGCAAAATGTAAACAAACGCGCTGATTGGCTAACATTATTTGCCCTTGTTCCTGTCATTCAAATGTGATACGTAGTAATTATGCTATAAATAATTTCCAGACTGAATGTTGATTTTAAAAATAAATATGATATTAATGGGTCCTATTGGATAGATTTAATGAATGATTTGCCCGTTGCCCAACCCCCAGCGACAACAAAAACAACTTGTACTTGAATAATAATTATTAAATATTATACCGTTATAAACAATACATTTTATTCGAAAATAAAATTCACCAATTAATGTCCGCTCATGATTTCGTTGAAACGAACTTTTCAGATATCGATGAATGTGCAGATGGAAGTCACAATTGTCATGTCAACGCTACGTGTGATAATACAGTAGGTTCATTCAATTGTACCTGTAATGCTGGCTTCGCAGGAAACGGCACTTATTGTCAAGGTTAGTTTATGATGCCGAAAACGCGTATATAAAGCGAGATATACATAGGCGTACGAAACGAGGGAAACTATATAAGTAAAGTAGCAAGGAAACAAACCCTAAAGAAAATTGAAGTTGAGCACATTTTAAACATAAGTTAAGCAAAAAGGTGCGAGTACAGGGATTGAAAAGCAAATTATATATAAGATTACAGGAAATTGCAGGAAATATGCAATGTGGCCAAATTTTTGCTTTCCCCCCTCCCCGGTTGACACAAATGCATAAGTTTTATAGCAGCGAAATATTGATTGGTCGGGCAAAAAGTCGGACAAGGTTCTTTCTACCGCCTGATTTTCTCCTCCCATACGTCTATGAAGATATACTGCAGGGACGGATCTAGCTTAAAATGTGACCGTATCATATTCCTAGGTCTCGCATAACTAGGGGGGTCCAGGGGCATGCCCCCCCCCGGAAAGTTTTTGAAATTTGAACCCCGGAAATGCCATTTCTTGCGTTCTGAGCCCATGATTCTGGCCTAAAATTTGGCCATAACAAGGTCATATTTTAACACAAAGTAACAAAAAACACCCAATAACTCTTCTTGGTATCAGTGTTCAAGTTTCTGTTTCATGAAACGTGGCCGGGGACGTTTTGACATAGAAAAGTCGGCTTTCGCGACTAAGTATATTTAATATTCCCCGCCGGTCCCTATTTAAATTAATAACATATTGCACGCGCAATGCCGCAATATGACTTTACAGATTAATATCTTCGGTCAGGCGAACGCTATGAAAACAAAAATACTACCGTTCGGTTCATTGAAAGAATATCTCCTAATTCCTAACGATAGTTTTAGTCAATATAGCGATTTAAGAACTTTGAGAGGTCAAGCAATATCATATATTTCACTATATTACTCAATTTTCTCGAACAATGTAAACTAGCCATACCTTTCGCCGAACATAACTTCGGCCCCTTCAGACATATCCTTTTCGTAATAGTCTTGTTCTAATTGGCATCCAATACACTATTTATAAAGTGTTATTTCAAGAACGTCTTTTGAAATTATGTAAGGCCATCACTCACTCAGTGTCTCAGTTACGTTAGAAGAAATGCGGCTGTTAGCAATATGAGACGAAGTTTCCGAGCGGTTCACGACTATTTCATTTCTTGCGCAATCAAAATACAGCCACAGTATCAGAGGGTATCCGACGTCATAGATACACGTCCTGTGATTGGCTGGATACCCTCCAAGGTATCCAAATACCTCATTAAGTTACTATTTTTAGTAACATTTGAACCGCGGACCTTATCAGAACACCGCAGACGCATTTAAAAACATTTTTCCGATCGGGTTACGTAACCTCGGGTTATGCCTTCGGAAAGCTCTCGGCTCATCTTCGTCGAAAGTAATTCAATGCTTTAAAAACACGTCTAATGTTACATTTAGAGCTGTGAATTTTAAAATTTACGAAAGAATTTGCCCTCGTTCATCTTAGTAAACTCAAATTTTCACTATTTTTGTAAACAAAAATGAATTGCGTGAAAATATATTAATAATGAATTTTCCCCCAAAACTATTTTAGTATGCATAATCGGAAAAATCTGACCGTATCTTGAGCTACACTCGATACCCCCTGGATCCGCCCCTGTACTGTATACAACAAATCTTTGATTTCCACCGGTGTCCTATATCTTGTCTACCGTCCTATATCTTGTCTACCGTGGGAGGACTTGACGTTCAAAAAATTCTTACCTAACCACTTTTTCTTGTAACTGCAATCAGTTACAAAATCTGGGGACCAGTTAGGTTGAGGCAGTAACATAAACCCTCTTTACCCTGTGGACTAAAATTTAAATTTTATCGGCAGTGGCTTTCTGTTTAATTGTGTTGTTCAAACTGGCTTGTATTCAAATATTTTGGCTAAATATTTTATGATATTATTTTTCACTATACAATATTAATATAGACGAATTACACTTGACTAATTCTAAATCAAGCTCTCGTATATACTTATATTATTAATCAAGCTCACGATTTCGTTGAAAAAACATTTCCGATATTGATAAATATGCTGCAGATAATCACAATTGCCATGACAATGCCACATGTACCAATAACGAAGATTCATTCAATTGTACTTGTGAATCTGGCTACAGATAGACTGCTAGCGGTTCCTCCTTTACGCTGCTTTAGATTTCCGGGCATGCGAAAGAAAGGCGAAAAAAACGAAATACGCGTTGCCTACACAACGCAAAATTCCCATTGGTCGAAATTGATATGCCTGTCATTCAAATGTGATACGTAGTAATTATGCTATAAATATTTTCCAGACTGAATGTTGATTTTAAAAGTAAATATGATATTAACGGGTCCTATTGGATAAATTTAATGAATGATTTGCCCGTTGCCCAACCCCCATATTTCGTGCTGTTAATGAAATACATTGACATTAATTGACAAGTTGGACACACCCAAAATTGTCTAGACATAACATGTCATCACGTTTTATATTCGATAAATATATTCATTGTAAGTTCAACGTTAATGGCGTAACACTGTTTATTACATGATGTGAGGAGAAGCTACAATCATGGAACATATGAAGCCTATGGGTCGTGTGGCGGAAAACTGGATGAAATGGAGACAACGCTGGAATCTTTACGCGAAAGCCAGTGGAGCCGACGAAAAAGACGAAGAGATTCAGTGTGCAATTTTCCTTCACACAATCGGAGAAGAAGCATTGGAAATCTACGATACTTTCACCTTCACTGAAACTGAACAAGATAAGATCGAGCCGCTCATTCAGAAATTTGAGAGCTACTGTACACCAAGGAAAAACACGACATACGAGCGATATATACTTAATACGTGTGTACAAAACGGAAGAAAACTCGATGCATTTATACTTAACCTTCGCAACAAAGCAAAGACCTGTGAATCTGAATCACTAACGGACAGCTTAATTAAAGATAGGATCGTTTCCGGAATCGACAGCAACAACATCAGAGAGCGTTTGCTCCGAGACAACGACCTCACGTTGGAAAAGGCGATTATCATCGTTAGAGCCGCAGAAACAAGCAAGACCCAAGTACAAAAGTTAAATAATCCTTCGCTCGAAGTCGAATCAATTCACAAGAATTTTGAATGAATTTCTCGCCGTAAATACCAGAGGGAAGAAACGAAACCCAGTAGAAGTGTCAGCAAATTAAAAACACAGTCTTGTTCGCGTTGTGGCTCAAATCATGCACCAAAACAATGCCCAGCGTTTGGACAAACATGTCGCAAGTGTCACGGAAGTAATCATTTCGCCAAAATGTGCCGCTGATCACTGAGATTGTGTTTAGACCCGAAAGATCTTAATAACTCAATAAAAAGAGGACATTACAAAGCACCGTCCGCTGAATCCATCTCAAATCACCTGAGTGGAAAGAAAGTATTCACCGTAATTGACATGTCCAACTACAACTGGCACAAAAAACTTGATGAAGAGTCATCCTATCTGTGTGCATCAACACACCATTCGGTCGATACAAGTTCAATCGCATACCTTTTGGCATATGTTCTGCATTGGATGTAGCGCAGAAAATGGTAGATGATGAATTTTCTGACATCCCTGGTGCGCACTAGCGGTACATGATGACATCATAGTCTCAGTTGCCAACACAGAAGATCATGACATAGCTCTAGAGAAAGTCCTACATCGAGCAAGAGAACGAAACATAAAATTCAACAAGAAGAAGATCCAACTACGAGTCACTGAAATGAAATATCTTGGCAACATCGTTAGTGCTAAAGGATTCACTCCTGATCCTGAGAAGATTAAAGCCATTGTCGAAATGCCTCTACCAAGGAGCAAGCAATATTTACAACGCCTATTAGGAATGGTGAACTATCTTTCACAGTACATACCAAACATGTCTGAGATCACTGCGCCACAGCGTACACTTCTCAAAAAAGACATACAATGGTCCTGGCACAACCAATACCAGAAAGCACTCGAAAGAATCAAGTAAGTCCTCACAAGCTGCCCAGATTTGCACTTCTACGACATCGATAAGCCTGTTACCCTCCAAGTTGATGCGTCACAAGGTGGACTGGGTGCATGTTTAATTCAGGAAGGACACCCAGTAATTTATGCATCCCGATCACTCACCAATGCTGAGCAGCACTATGCTCAGATAGAGAAAGAGCTGCTCGCAACCGTTTTCGCATGTGAACGTTTCAACCAATTCATTTATGGGACACAAGTCACAGTACACAGGACCACAAGTTGTTGGAAGCCATCATAGCTAAACCATTATCACAAGCACCACCGCGAATTCAGCGTCTTCTCATCCGACTACAGAAGTATCACCCAACAGTAAAAAATGTTCCCGGGAAATTCCTGTTCATCGCCGACACTTTGTCAAGAAGAAGAAAGAGAACAACGGGAACTTAATGATGACATTGAAGTAATGGTGCACAGCATGGTTACAGCAATACCAGCATCTCCTGAGAAAATGGTAGCGCTTAAGGAAGAAACAGCGAATGATGAAACGCTACAACAACTTAAACAGCAGATGGTTCAAGGTTGGCCTGATCGCAAGCATGAAATCCCGCAAAACTTAGCTACCTACTGGAACATTTGCCATGAGCTGAGTGAAGCAGAAGGTCTGATCTTCACAAAGACCACCAGTTAGTCATACCTACAGCAATGACAAGCAATATGCTCAACCTGATACATGAAAGTCATCTCGGGATAGAGAAATGCAAAGCACGCGCAAGAGCAATCCTTTTTTGGCCTGGAATGTCAAAAGATATCTACGAGAACGTATCAAAATGTGCTACTTGGCCACATATAGAAGAAGAAACCAGAAGGAACCGATGATAGCACATCAAATACCTGAACAACCATGGCAAAAGCTAGGAACTGATCTGTTTGAATGTAAGGGCAAGAATTACCTCGTTGTTGTAGATTACTATTCGAAGTTCATCGAAACAGTCCTCCTTCCAAGCAAGACAGCAGGAACAGTAATTAGACACTTGAAATCATTTTTTGCCACACACGGAATCCCAGAAGACTTGGTATCCGACAACATGCCCTTCAATAGCAAAGAGTTTGACGAATTCGCCAAAAAAATGGAGATTCAAACAAACAACATCAAGCCCAACCTATGCTCAATCAAATGGCATGAGTGAAAAAGCTGTACAAACCGTAAAACGGATCCTGAGGAAGGCTAACGATCCATACGTTGGTCTGTTGAAGTACCGTAACACGCCTGTTACCGGAATGACATACTCCCCATCACAACTGCTGATGAGCCGCACCACAAGAACGAAGATTCCGATATCTAAAGAGTTACTACTACCGGCCGTGCGAATCAATGCACAGCAGCAGCTTGAACAACGACATCCTCGTTTCCAGGGCTTCTCGGCTGCCTGCGTTGCCGTAAGCCCTGGGACAAGCCGAACCGGAACACCACAAATTCTGGTGTTTTCCGGAAGTAAACGCGCTCTGCTGCAAGCTAAAAATGCTGACTATGCATTAATTTTTACTGAGGAGTGGAGACGTGTTGGTGAGCAGAAAATATTGGATTTTTCTTTTGTTTCGATGTATTTTCCACCATCAAGGGAATATATACAGACCACCTAATGGAATTATACATATTGGGGGTTTATATTTCTTTATATCGTTAATATTCGTCAAAATACAACCATATTTCGGTCTGGTATTACATGTATCAATTTTCATGTATGATGTAAGCATGATCGAGTCGAAATGTGCTCGAAGTGGCCGCTGTGATTCGAAACATCATGGGTTCTTGTACAGATGACCTGTTTCAACACGCGCTTGTAAAGTCACTTCAAAGACTGGACAAAGCCGGACTGGTATTAAAGAGAAGTAATTCGAAGCTTTATCGTCTATCGTATGTATATAAAAGGAACAAAAACGACATGCGACATGTCTAAACGGCGGTGTGTGTCTGTTTACTGGGTTACAACAACGGCAATATCAATGAATCACCTAACATTTCAAGAAAATATAAATTATAGATAGATGTCATGCATGACCCCATGAGTTTTGGATTTGAATTGCTAGATTTAAATCTATATTATGTATACAAAATCATGCGTGCGTAAATTTGAGCAAAAAAGCACAAGGTGTTTGCATGTTTGGCCATATGCCCATCATGTAGTATGAATATTGAACACTGTTTTATATAGCACGTTTAAAACGTTAATTCCATGCTGGATAATCCTGAATACTTCACCGATTACATGCGTGGCAAATGACGAAAAATAATTATGTAAAATAATTAACCTAATATGTCTTTGGCCGTGAATGCAACTCACTATGCAGCCTATGCTGCTTTATACATCTGACAGTCAAAACTATGTGCATGACTGTATGGCCCAATGTATGTTAATTGTTTCAGAGAAATTTTTGTGTTCAGATTAAAGTATAACAATATTTTCTGCATTCCAATATATTTTCTACATGCAAGTGCACATTCTGTTTCAGATAGGGGCCAAATCATTTGAGGCCAAATGGGCTAGCCAATGATTGGATGGTAGTGTTAGCAAATTTGACTCCCTTACATAATGTCAAGTTATCACTGGTCAATTTTTAAATTTCTTACAATTTCACATCAGGGAGTTCATTGCCCCCCCCCCCCAATTATCCAGAAGTGTGACTAAGCATTTTCTAGTATCTATCCAGGTATCCAATCTAAATCTCCACCACAACAGGATGTATACCCGAGTGATGGTAAGGGAGGTGGGGGTTAAAATTCTGATTTATCAATATATTACTACACATTTCCACATTAAAAATATGAAAAGTTTTCCAGTTCAATATATCTATAGCATTTAATGCCATTAAACCAAAATTTCAGAATACAAAGCATCTTTTATGTCATTTTTGTAATGGTTTGTTTAATTAAAATCAATTTTTATACAGACATGGTAGGTTGTCTCCTGGCTAGAAGCCTGCATATACATATACAAATTTTCAGTTTTGTCAATAATAATAGTTTATTTTATAATTTCAATTCTTACAAGATTTGCAATAAATCAACAGAATAAGTATTCTATTCTGAACTGTTGACAGGAAACAGTGTAAATTCATGATCTCTTCCAATATGACACAAGAATTCGAGACCCCCACCTCGGCATACCAGGGGCATTCACTTAATTTGTTGTGTGAAATTCAGTGAAGTTCCACCATTCCTTTACTGTTCTGTAAAAGCATTTCCTAGCCGACTGCTTTATTTCAGCATTTATATAAAAGATTAAACCTTTCCTAGCCCACTGCTTTATTTCAGCATTTATATAGCCGACTGCTTTATTTCAACATTTATATAAAAGACTAAGGCTATGTGCACACTGGCGTCGTTTTGCAGCGTTTTCAAAAACGTTTTTGTCCGTAAAACCGTTTTGACGCCGTATTCGCACAGCCCAAAGGAAAATATCTCGGATATATTAAATAAACTACAACTTCTCTCGTAAATTGATAGTGTTTGTATCCGTTTTAGCGTGAAAACACAAATGAAAACGCTCGAAAACGTTACCGTGTGCACATAGTCTAAGTGACACCCTCCCCCATGACCTCATTCATTCCTCGACTTAGACACTGAAAGTAAGTGTCTTCCCTGTTTGCCAAGAATAAGAGGCGATTGTCCTTGCATTCCCCTCTGGTATGCCAAAGGTGCAGGGATTCAAATGACTGGTGCAATTGAATATGCTTATAAGCTTAAACACTGTATTTAATTAAAAGCTATTAAAATTACTCACTAATAATACAACTGAGAAAATTCAGAAATAGTAAAATACACCTATAATATTCTATATGCTATATTTAAAATTTCCAATTGGCCATTTTAATATAGGGCCATTTTAATATAGGCGGGTAATAGGCCAAGTGACCAATACCAAAAGCATTGTAATTAATAAAACACAATATATTACACCATTAAAACTTTACTATCGTAAATATATATTATTAAACATTTTACATTTACAGTGTGCTTAAAATTTTACAATTATACTTGACCACAATGTTTTAATAACAGGCAACTTTATAACAAGAAAATGTTAAAATGAAGAAACTTTTTAATGGCTTCATAATTGACGTTTCTTCGATATTGTTGCTTACTTCTACTTTATAATTGTCCATTTTGTTATTTTCTTTCTTTGTGTCTGCAAATGATCTCCATTAATCCATAGAAAACAAGCAGTATACGTTTGTATTTCTTCGTATTTCGAACGCGCACTCCTTGAAGGCAGCCATATTGTCGAATATAAATATCCACTTGATGAATAAACTTTTCATACTTCACTCTATTTCCAACGACCAATCAAATCACTTCTGCTTCGGCTTGTCCCAGGGCTTACGGCAACGCAGGCAGCCGAGAAGCCCTGGGAACGAGGATGGAACAACGATAGAAGCAGAACTACGACAAATCAACCAAAACATTACCACCACATGAAATTGGAGAAAACATCCACCTACACCAGGACAGAATCTGGGTACCAGCCACCGTATCTGGACTGGCCGCTGCCCCAAGATCGTATATTGTCACAACATCAGATGGACAACAATACAGACGGAAGCGTCGTGACCTTTTAAAGACCAACATTGATATAAAGACAGAGTCTTGTAGTTTTGTTCATGTGTTTACATTACGTACATAAGACCATATTCTGTATATTACGCATTCTATATATTACATTCTTTATATTCCACTCAATACCATCGTTAACAGAGTGTGATGATCACGTGAATACCACATCCCTCCCATACTTTAAAGTACTTAATATGTTCCGTTTACTATATGTCCTATATTAAATAGTAACAAACCTAATATCAATAAATAATCATATTTGTTTCATGACTGTCCAACTCTCTGAGTTCTTTATGTTTTATAGTCTCTGAGCCAAG